GCAGCCCTTAGGACCGCTGTACTTGGGGTACAGTGTGTCTGTAGCAGTAAGGTGATCCAAATAACTAAAGTATGAGGTGGGAAGGAGGAGAAGAGAGAAGGACTTGCCTCACTGTGGTGGAGGAATCCTCCGATGGAGCCTGAGCACGGGAATGGCTGTAACCTTGTGGAGACAGTAACCTCCTGGCCTCTCTGAACTACATCTCAGGGTTCCCTCCTGAGACTTGTCACACAGAGCAGCCCTGCCTTCCTGTGCGTCCTCCAAAGCCGGGAAGAAGAACACATCTGTCTCCGCCCTGTAGCAGCAGCTGCCAACGGGAGCCTCACGAGTTCTCGGAGAGCATCTGCCCTTAAATGAACACCCTCACAATTTTGAAATGAAAAATTTTTTTTTCTAACATTTTATTTATTTATTTGACAGAGAGAGACAGCGTGAGACGGAACACAAGCAGGGGGGAGTGGGAGAGGGAGAAGCAGGCTTCCCGGGGTCACGACCTGAGCTGAAGGCAGACACCCAACGACTGAGGCACCCAGGCGCCCCTAAAGTGAATTCATTTGAGATATGCACAGCAATCGTATCTCTTTATGTTGTATATGAAATCCTTTATTGTAAATGCTTTGCTGTCTTTTCACTTGTAGCATTAACAGAAGCTTTGTGAGAAAGGACAAGCAAGTTCTAGTTATGCCATTTTACAGTGTGGGACCAGACTTTCAGAGAGGTGAGTGACTCGCTCGGGGATGCACAGCCCTAGGGTGCTGGAGCGGCATCGGCTGCCTTCTGTTTTGATCCTCAGGAGGAATTAGGAGACTGTGTCAAACTCCACTTGAACTCCTACCCCATGGGAGGAAATTGACCAAGAGCCTGGATTTTATGCCTCAGATCACCTCAAGAGTTTAGGGAGGGTTTAGACTTGGCCCAGATCCATCCCCTTTACCTTTTATCATTCGAGAACTAGGGACTTCAGGTCAGACGTCAGTGTCTATTGTCCTCTTCTCTGCATCTGGGAGGAGGTAGGATTGCTTTTAGGCATTTGTTTTACCTCAACGCTTAAGGTTGCATTCAACTGGCCAGATGTGACGTTACTAGACCGGTGATTCTGGCTGCCTAGGATAGGACCTTTGCCAGCTTTATCTTTGACCAGAAAGAAAGCCAAGAGGTGGTGGAAGGTGGAAGAGGGAAAGGCAACTGTCTGTCTCCCTAGAAGAGCTATGTCCCATGTAAGTTAAGGAGTCTTCCTTCTTCCAAGCAGGGGATACATTTCTTTCTTTTCATAGAACTTCCCTTAGGTGAATCTGCCAAATTTTGCCCAGGATGGGACTGTTCTTCGCTTGCCTGCTGATTGCCCTTAATGTCTTCCTCAACACCCCTTTGCTCTATTTCATCATTAGGTGATTGAAGAACACCTTATTGGCCTGTTTCTTGAATGGTTTCATCCGAAACATGGACCTGAGGCTCTCACATGTCTCATGATTTCAAAAAGACTAGGCTCATATTAGTCTAATCCCCTTAGTCTAGGCAGACAGGTATGTGCTTTAGTGTTTGGCACTTAAACTCCAGGAATCAGAGAGCTTTGTACCAAACAATCAAGTCCAACATCTTCATTTGACAGATGAGGAGACCTAAAAACCAGACTGGTTATTTTCCCCTGTTTTTATATAGCTATCATTAGAACTATAATCAAAATCCAGATTACTGGGGCGCCTGGGGGGTGCAGTCAGTTGAGCATCTGACTCTTGATTGCAGCTCAGGTCATGATCTCAGGGTCTTGAGATCGAGCCCCACATAGGGCTCCTCACTCAGAGTGGAGTCTGCTTGATAATCTCCCTCTGCCTCTCCCCTGTCAAATAAATAAATAAATCTTTTTAAAAGTCCAGATTACCTGGTAGATGCTTACATCACAGGGCCTCTATCTGATGTATCACTGATTTCGTGCCAAGGATGCCACCTGCACTGGGGTGGCTGGAAAATCTAGTGCTCAGGTTACATAGATAGGGCTTTAGCATGAGTGGGACGCAGTGCAGCCTCTCAGGGTGGTCACCCTTCAGAGGCAGGCACTCTCTCAACCTCCGTGGCACACTGTGGTTAAGGTCATGCTGGTGTCCTGGGATCATGGGGGTTAGTTTCTTGGCCATTTAGGGGCCACAGGAGTGGAAAGTGCAGTGCAGGTGAGTCCAGGATTTGACAGTTGGCTTTGGGCCAAGGTACTTAAGCTTTCTGTACCTCCAGTTCTTCATTTGTACTGTGGGGATAACAAGAGTACCCCTGTCACTGTTGTGAAGCATGAATGAGTCAATCTTCCTAAAATGCTTATAAAAGGCAGACCCAAAAGACCTAGAGAATCTGCCAAGTTAGGTTCCTTTGTTTTAATGTAGAAACTTTCCCAGTGGGGTTTCTGTGTATCGATAATGTGTCACAGTTACAAACATGAAATGCATGATACAGTTATACACGTAATGAACTTATTTGAAACGCCAGAAGAGCTACATTTTGGGACCCTCGTGCTGCACGGTGTACGTACGGATTGCATTATATAGACAAACTGATAGCACCTTGCCTCAGCTTACCAGCCACAAGAATACTAATGAGCATGAAGGAGAACCCTCAACCTCCACATGGCCATCTCCTTTGAATTCTGTCCTAGTTCTTTCTCTGTTCAGGATATTCTGCTTACTTTCAGGTAGCCTATGTTTTCATGGTTCTAAAAAGACAATTTACAGGGGCGCCTGGGTCCCTGCTCAGCGGGGAGCCTGCTTCTCCCTCTCCCTCTGCTGCTCCCCCTGCTTGCGCTCTCTCTTTGTCAAATAAATAAATAAAATCTTTTTTCTTTTTTTTTTTTTAAAGACAATTTACAAAGATCTTCAAATTTCAGATCTTCCTGGTTAGGGGGAAAACTCAAACCACCAAAAACCTAAACGTTTTCTCAACAGTATCTCTTCCCTAGGATGGAATATAATATGTAATAATGTAGTAACATTCCCCGAGGAACAAAAGTCCCATTTACTATCCTGTAGTAAGATTGACAGATAATATTGATTGCCTATAGATAAAATTTCCAAAATATCAATATATTACCTAACCTGATATAAAGGAAAGTAATTTGTATTAGGATAGTATGTGTTCCAGTGTGTACAGATGGGGTGAATAGGTGTCTGCACCTGCAACAGCCCGATATGTGAATGTTGTATTTCCGAATCTAACACCATTAAGTGGTTTGATTTTCCTGAAATGTGAACAAGGCCTACAGAAAGAAACAGAAGAATAGCAGAAAGAAAGAGAAGTATATTTCCTTAATTTTCCAATATATATCAAAGCTGTGCAAAATATTTTGTATCTCTGTGTAAAGGAATGTTAGGTTCTAGCCTTAGGTAACTATTAACTTTTTTTTTAGAGTGGGGGGAGGGGCAGAAAGAGAGAGAGAGGGAGAGAATCTCAAGCAGGCTCCACACCCAGCACGGAGCCCAATGTAGGGCTCGATCCCAGGACCTGAGATCACGACCTGAGCTGAAATCAAGAGTTGGACGCTTTAACTGACTGAGCCACCTGGGTGCCGCTATTAAACAACTTTTTTGAAAGTCACACAGGATCAGGAACATTTTTTTGTTTTGCAGGAATGCCCATTATCCCTGACCCCCACTAAATTCCAATAGCACCATCCAGTCAACATGACGGTCCAAAAAAAAAAAACCCTCACCAATTCCCAGAACTCTCCCCAGGAGGTAGCCTGCTGCCTTGAGAATTACTGTCATAGAAGAGAGAAATAACAGTGAATGGTCAACAAAATCAGGATGGTGTAGTGGGAGGGTCTGTGCTGCAAGAATGCAGGCTAGCCAACCTAGCGATGCGGCAGACTCCTACTAAGGAATGAGGGCCCCGTGAAGTATGCAACTGGACCTGTACTGAGAGGTTCTAAATAAATCAGACTCTTAATCGGTAGTGCTTCTGTGTTCCCTGTTTCCAGTTGGAAGGCATGTTTTTGGCCAAGCTGGATACAGACAGCATCGTCACATTGCCTTAGAGGTTCTCCCTGTGTGACTTCTTGGTGGATGTCCTCCACAGCTCACCTGCACATCTGGAAGGGTCCCTGGTCTACGAGAAAGGAACCTGTGAAACCAGATTATGTCCTAACCCAGCGGATCTCAAACTGTGCTGTGAGCAGAAGCATTAGGGGAGATGGTATATAGTTTGTAGCCGACTGTCAAGCACAGGGGCTCCAGATGAATCCGCAAGACCATGGCTTAAAGAAAAGGGTTTCGTGGGGAAAGAGTGCAGAGATGGGAGAGGAAAGACACAGATTCCCACATTCTCCCATTTCCCCAGCAGGAAGGCTGCTGTAGGAGGATGCTCTGTGGGTCGCTCAGCACAGGCCGGTGTTCCGGGAGAGGGCCCGCTGCTCTTACTCAGGAGGCAGGTGTAAAAACCACCTGTCAGTGGGGAGTTAAGTGGACTGCTTGGTGCCGGGCAGTCCGAACGTGGGGCACCGGCTGTGTGATAGGAGGTGTCTGAGAAAGCTGGCTGGCTACCTGGGAATCGTGAGATCCTTGGGAAGTGTTGGCCCTGCTGGCAGAAGGGAGAAGCCACCTGTCTAGGGGAAGCTGAGTTGATCTTTTAGACCCTCCTGCTCTGTGAGGAACGTTGGAGTGGGGAGCACAGTTTTCAGGCAATCTAGGGTATCTTTCTAGGCTTCCTTTTGGACAGTTCTACTTGTCAAGTTATATGAAGTTATTAAATACCTGGGCCTGGGCCCTGTGTCCTACCTCCTAGGTCTGAAGCAAAGCCCAGGTATCTTGACTAACAACTTCCCTGGGGGATTCTGATGTGAATGTGTATAACCTTCTGGAACCCAACTTTGCCCCCTTTCAGAAAGCCATTTTTGCCAGGCCCTCCTCCCACAGCTTCTGAAAGTTCACACCGTCTTCTCTATAGATCAAAGCATTAATATCGAGCTCTGAATAGCCCTGTGTCTCCAGCACCCAAGCCTGTGTTAAATCCTTTCCCATCAGCAGGAGTCCCAGCATGTGAATTGGACATGGTCATTCAGTTGGAGGGAGGACAGCTGTGGATGCTGGATCTTCAGGGCACTGAAGAGGGGAGTGAGCGAAAATACCTGTCTGGGTGAGTGAGACCATGAAAAGACCACCGATTCGATGTTTAGGAGACGTGAGTTCCAGTCTAAGTTCTTGGAATTCACCGGGTGACTTAAGTTAGTCTGCTTTCTATTTGCCAAGTAAGAGAGCTGTCCTCAGTGTACTCTGAAAGTAGACTTGTTTAGAAGAACACCTACACTAGCTGGAAGGAGGGTCGGGGGCATGTCAGGTGGCAGTGTTGTAGACAGCGTTTCTGAAATTCTGTTCTCTCTCAATCCCAAGAAAAGGACTGCATCCAAGCTTGATAGAATCATCCCTACTGTTTGCTTTTTTTAGAGCGTATCTTTTCTACACTTAAGAGTCTACTGTTTTCATCCCTTTCCTTTCTCCCATTTACCACTGCTGATCGGCTATAATAAGTAACAGCTCATTTTACTTTCTAATCCTCTACTCTCTGCTCATCAGCTGGTATATCTGCTCGTTTCCATTTTTCTGGCTCAGCGTAGTACCCAGTCACCCTTCCCGTATTTCTTGATGTCTCTGTGCTCCCCATGCCTATTATAAAAACTGCCTGTTATCTCTTCTGCTCCTGTTCACTTGCCTTCGGCTGTCCCTTTTTGTTTTCTTCCCATATAAAGTTGCTAGTGTGTGTGAATTGCAAATTTGTTGTCTTTTTTTTTTTTTTTCCCCTGCTGGTTTATTTTCCTTGCTCTCCGTACTAGATGCAGGTGACATTTGCACTTTAAATGTCTTTCAGATAGGGAGATGTGAACTGAGCCAAAGCATCAACACCAATCAGGCTATTTCTGAAGAACTAGAGTTTTCAGGGTCAGCAATGGAAAGTCTCAGAGGGAGTACTGCCCAAGGTCCTAAGAATGAAGAGGCCTATAAGGGTGAGGGCCGGTTATCAAGGCAGACAAAATGTCCTGTACAGAAGACATCTTTTGAGAAAACGGCAATCAGGAAAGTGTCGATGACCCTCAAGGAAATTTTCACTAGGGAGAGAGTTCCTGAAGCTAGTGAATTTAGTCTAAGCTCAAAAGTTAATATACAGCAGAACATTCCAAAGGGAGCTAGATCCCCCATATCTAGGAAAAACTCCAAAGATAATTCGGACTTCATTAAACACCAAAAACTCTTCCCACAAAAGAAACCTTGTAAATGCAACGAATGTGGGAAAGCCTTCAGTTACCAATCAGACCTTATTGTCCACAGGAGAATTCATGGTGGAGAAAAGCCTTTTGAATGCAACGAATGTGGGAAAACTTTTAGCCGAAGTACACACCTTATTGAACATCAGAGAACTCACACTGGAGAGAAGCCGTACGAATGCAGTGAATGTGGAAAAGCTTTTAGCCGGGGCACTCACCTGAGTCTGCATCAGAGGATCCATACTGGAGAGAAACCGTATGAATGTGGTGAGTGTGGAAAAGCCTTCAGCCGGAGCACTAACCTTAGCCAACATCAGCGAACTCATACTCAAGAGAAACCTTACAAATGTAACGAATGTGGGAAAGCCTTCAGTGACCGTTCAACCATAATTCAGCATCAACGAATACACACTGGAGAGAATCCCTATGAATGCAGTGAATGTGGGAGAGCTTTCAGTTGGATCTCGTCTCTTATTGAGCATCAGAGGACACACACCGGAGAGAACCCCTATGCATGCAACGACTGTGGCAAAGTGTTCTCTCGCAGCTCATCCCTCATTGAGCACCAGAGAATCCACACTGGAGAGAAGCCCCACGAGTGCAGAGAATGTGGGAAGGGCTTCAGTCGGAGCTCATCCCTTATTATCCACCAGAGAACTCACACCGGAGAGAAGCCTTACAAATGTAATGACTGTGGGAAAGCCTTCAGCCAGAGTTCAACTCTCATCAGACATCAGCGACTTCACACTAAGGAGTAGTAGTTGAGCTTTTTCATTAATGTTAGCATAAGAGCACACAGCCTTCACGTCCTATCCTGCAAAGAACAATAGATACATCTTTGGAGTTTTCTTCTCTACTAGCTAGCTGTAAGCCAGTTTCAAGTTAGCCTTCCTTCCACCTGTTCCGTAAACTAGATGCTCCAGTGAGTGAGTACAAGGGGATAACGTAAGAACCTCACGTATTCCATCTCCTATTCCAGAGGACTCCAGCCTTAGAGTTTAGACCCTCCTGACACCTTGCATTTGCTCACTTTATCTATTCCATGGGGCTTGGGTCCCTGAACAATCAGTGAACCTTGTTTCCCGACCACATCAGCCCCTTTACTTAAAGAGGAAATCCTGTGTGTGTGAGATGCTGGTTCCAGTAGTAGAAGAGGAGCTGGCTTCAGAACAGGACAAAAAGCTTCCCACCAGTTTGGTGATAATAGTGTTGAGGCAAATCCAGTCTCTCGTTTTATAAGGACAGATTTTTCTCTTAAACCTTTTTTGCTATAGCATATTTTCCTCAAAGTATAAACCATAGTTCTAATGGGCCTAACTAATCCTGGTGTTATTTTATCTTATCCTCACCAAAAATGTCCTAACACTTACATTGAGTTCTATTATTTTTTAAAAAATTGCTTCCCTAGTTTTTAAATTTTTCTTCTGTTTCTTCTTCATGAAACTTATACCCTCTGGTTCAAACTCTCACCAATCCTATAAAGCTGATCTCTCAAGGACAATTCAGTGCCTATTTCTTAGTCTTTTTCCTACTTGACATTTGCAGAATTGGCACTTTGGGCCACTCTTATGCCTTAAAATTTGAGCTGCTTCTGGCATCCCTGATTCTGTGCTGATCCACACTTTTCCTACCTCCCAGCACTCTCTGATTAACAATGATCAGCTCTATAACTTTGGGCAAGAGTTCAGCCAGAATGCTCTCATTTTATCGGGTTATAATACTTGCGGTCACTCAATTAGATTGTAAGCTTCCTGAAGACAAAGGTCTTTTCGACCCCTGTGAAACATCCATAGTGCTGAATAGTTACTAAATGACCTATAATTACTGCCTACTTTATCCCAGGTAATCAGTCTGCAAGATTTTATTTCAAGTGGCTTACGAGTTGATTTCTTTCTCTGTTCTTAGTGCTGCTGGAGTTTGTGCCCAAATTATGAGAGTCAACACTGCTGCCCTTGTCTTCCTATCTTTAGCTGCCTGACTAAACCACCACCTTGTTTAAAGAGTGCACAGTTCCCAGGAAAAAGATCAAACTGTTTAACCCCAGGGCCGTCCGCAGTTAGATCTATCTACCCATTTTCCATTCCTGCCCGGTGCATGTAGGCAGCCTGTCCTTTGTGTCTGCTCTACCCTCTTCTCGCACTTGGCTTCTTTTCACATGGTTCTTTGGCACCCTTTTACATGTTCTGCTTTCCTCCTTGTGTCTCCAGAAATCCTGTCCACGCTTTATAAAAGGCCTTGCTCAAGTCCTGCCTCCTCTGACACTTTGGGTCCCCCACCTTTGCAGTCGTGGTTTGCATGTATTTTCGTGCATTGCAAACTTTCCTATTCTGTTTTCTGATTCTCTCAGGTGCTTTTTTCCCATAAGCTTCTGAAGTTAGAAATTATCTTAAATTCTCAGAAGCCCCATCTGATACATGGTATAATGCAGGTCTGGACTCGTTTTAATCTAAACCAGGAGGGTTTAATAGTGCAATCTCTTTAGTCTTATGAATGGAGAGATAAGATCATAAATATTTTGGTCCTTTTTGTCCTACCTTGAATTATGTAAATTCACTCTTGGGACTAATTCTCCTTTAGAGCTCCTGGGATGCTGGCCTCTTGGCTTTCCATTTCATGAGACTGTTGTAAGGAATAAGTGAGTTTATTCATGTAACATGATGAAAACAGTGCCTGACATAAAGTAAGTGCTCAATAAATGCTAATTGTTATGATTCTGCTGCGATTCAGCCTGTGGCCTTTCATTTCATCCCCCGCAGGGTAAGTCCATTACCAGCAATGGAAAACTGTGATTACAGTCACTTAGGTTAGAAGACATTTCTGCTAACGGTAATAATAGGCAATAGCCATCTATTTTATTATAACTATCATGTCAAAAAGGACTCAAGATAGCTTATATGATAGAATAGAAAATGAAAACACAGAAATCAGCATTAGAGGGGTGCCTGGGTGGCTCAGTCGGTTAAGTGTCTGCCTTTGGCTCAGGTCATGATCCCAGGGTCCTGGGATTGAGCCCCCGAGTTGGGCTCCCTGCTTGGCAGGGAGTCTGCTTCTCCCAACCCCTCTGCCCTTCCCCCTGCTTGTTCTCTCTCTCCCAGATAAATAAATAAAATCTTAAAAAAAAAAAAAAATCAGCGTTAGAGAAAGGAGAAAGCCTAAAAGATCAAGATCAGGACAAGTTATGGTTATGCTGTAGTTATCCAGATAGAGGTGCAAACAGCATTCTGGCAACCAAAGGGGGATGGTCATTTGCTTACTTTGTATTTGGAAAGGAAAAAAAAGTCCATTTTTCTTTTTTTTTTTAAAGATTTTATTTATTTATTTGAGACAGAATGAGAGACAGAGAGCATGAGAGGGAGGAGGGTCAGAGGGAGAAGCAGACTCCCTGCTGAGCAGGAAGCCCGATGCGGGACTCGATCCCGGGACTCCAGGATCATGACCTGAGCTGAAGGCAGTCGCCCAACCAACTGAGCCACCCAGGCGCCCAAAAAAAGTCCATTTTTCAAGGAAAGATTTTTTTTTTTGACCACTCATCTTTGGTCATCTCTTCTTTTATGCATTTTTTAATTCTTTGCCATCATTGTAGTGAAGTTTCCAGAGGAAGCAGAGATAAGCACAAGGTTTAGTCTGCATTTTCAACCTGTCTGCTCTGTCCCCCAGCTAAACCCCCCACCCCCCCCCCCCGCCCAACAGCCTGAGCTTTGATGTGGCCTTCCCTGCCCCTCCTCCACCACCCACCTCCTGCAACCACCATGTACACCCAAACCCAGGGGCCTCTCTCTGCTCGTCGCCTGCACCTTAGCATCCCTAGAGAGGGACAATGACAGATGCCCAGGCAGACTTCAAGTTCTTTATACTCAAGTTCTGAGTCAGGGGTATCCCTGGCACACTGTGCTCTCTCCTGACTCTGCCTTTGCAGATGCCATTCCCTCTCTCTCTCTCTGAAACCCCTCCAGCCCCAGCCCTGCCTCCGGGCATATCTCCCTGGTGATTCCTACTCATCTGCAGCCTGGGACCCCTCTCCCACTCTAAGTGGTGCACACAGAACTGGTGTTCTCTGTCCCGTTCAGCCCATCACAGCCAGGATCTTACCTCGGTCTACAAACATCTGCAAAATGGGTGTGGCACCCATCCCCCTCACCAGGCTCCCCTCACCTCCCCAAAGCCACAGCAGGGTGAGACGGCAGCTTGCGGTGTTGCATGAGGCAGCAAGGAGTTCTTTTCTGCCCAAGCTGGCCGAGCCCTGGACGGGCACCGAGGCCAGAGGGATCCACTAAAATCCTAAGGGCCACACTACACCCCAGCGTAAAACCCATTCATGGCTACTCAGTGCTGCTGGGCTAAAATCCAAACACCTGCGGGGCCCACAGATGCTCCGTGGGCCCCAGTCTCTGCTCCCTGCCCTCACCTCGTTTTTCTTTAAAGGAAGCCAGAGTCCTCCCAGTTTCCTGGCTCACTGCTTGGAGAATTTTCCTTCCCTCCACCCCAGCCCTTTCACAGATTCTGTCCCAAAGCTTTCCTAATAGATTTAAGATGAATTTCTCCATTTGTCTGCATGTAATTATACAATGCATTTGATAGCAAAAAATAAAAAATAATGTATTCTCCACAACACCTAGCATATAGTAGGTTCTCCAGTGAACAAGTATTTAGTTCATAGTGGAAAGCTCAGAAAGGTAGGGGTGAAGATTGTTCTTCCGGGGGAGTGGGGTTAGAAGGAGCAGGGCATAGAGTTGATAACCACATGATACCTGGGTGCCAGAAGAAAAGCTCTTTTCACCCATTTGAGTCATTTAATTTTCTACCTTATGGGATGAAAAAACTGACCTTTACGGATGTGAAATAACTTACAAAGACCGGGATTTGACCCCAGTTCTGCTGACGGTACTGGACTTCTTAAGGTGGACCCTGGCAAGGTCTGGAAAAGAAAGAACTGTGAGTAAAGGCGTAGAGGTGCGGAAAAGTTCCAGTAGATGGACTGGACTGTCTGTGGCAGGGAGTTCAGTGAAGTCAGGAATGAGAAAGTGGACTTGGAATTGGATTAACTTGGTGATGGCTGCTTCCAGTCCTAGATCGTGTTTGGGTTTAATGAGGGAATCACAGGAAGTGAGTGATGATGCTGATTAAGTGTGGCTTCAGGGAGAAAGATTAATCTGGGAGAGGAGACAGGATGGTGTGGACCCGAGGCGGGGGGGGGCGGGTAGGCAGAAGCTAGGTGGGAAGCTGGAGTCTTAGGATGGTGGTGGTGGTGGGAGCCGAAGAGCATCCACTGGGTGGATGAAGAAGCGGTGCCTAGATCCGGACCCGGGACAGGAGCGACCGGAGGCTGCGTTCCTTAACTGCTGTTGTTACTTGTCCTGTAAGTGACCTGCACCTGCAGCGAGGGGTTTGGGATATACCCTCGGTCATGCCAGTGTCCACTCTCGGGTAGGACTGCCTTGCGTCTTTTCAGTCAGCGTGGAACCAGACACGTTAGGGACTTCCCGCGGGGAAGTCGAGTCACAGGGACGCGTGATTGGGAGGGGTCCGCCTTTGCGGGGAACAGCGCGGGGTCTGCCGGGAAATCCTGCATGGTGCTCCCGCGGCAGGACGCCTCCCGGCGAAGTGCGCCTCCCGTCTGCGCGCATGCGCGCGCGAACACACGCACACACGGACACGTGCGCGTGCGCACGACACATGCACACACGGACACGTGCACACATGGGCGCGCACGTGCAC